AACAAGGGATCAATCGTTCAAGACCAAACGGTTCATCCTTAAAGCTTAACCACTAGACCCTAAAACACACACACAATTCTTAGGCATCAAGACAAGAAACAAGAGTAACATGACCTTAACCAAAAGCATTACATACCATAAAGAAAGTAAAACAAGAACAACGTAAAAAAGTACCAAGAGACTTACATTCAATCACAATACCAGACATTTTCTACAACTTAACCACTGGACAACAAACACATTAATCCGGGTCACGGTTTATTCTCAGACGCCACACTGTTGATTCCATCTCAAACTTTTATAGTTTCAGAAACACAAACTCTTCAATCGCAGAGACTCCACCAATCCTCTCAAGTGTTTTCTTGTCTGGTTCTTCATCGACTCCTATCGCCATTATCGCTTGTTTCCTCACAACTTTTCTTCCAACACTCATGAAATTCACATTCACGTTTTGCTTTCCGAGTATGTTACCAACTTGTCCAATCATCCCTGGTTGATCCACTTGCCTGCAAAGTATCAGATTCCCTTCAAGGCTTACATCCACAGAAAATGATCCAACACATGTTAAATGCGGAACTCCGTATTTCACCCTCCCTTCAATACTTATAGCTCCGCAATCAGAGACCGCACCAGCGAAATTCGATTCCACATTCGAAATCTGAACTTGGATCGAATCAATAGGGTACTCTGGTGATGACTCAACCACCATCCGTTCCTCGCTGATACGAAGACCCTTTTGCTTAGCTATGAAATCAGCATTGACCAGGTTGACATATGAATCTGAGATCGGTTCAATGATTCCCTTTGTGATCATTGCACGGAGTAGTCTAGTGTCCAAATCATCTCGATCACGGGCTGAGCGATACACGACCTTGATGGACTGTACTCCCTTACCTCCAGATGCTAACTGCACAGCTAACCTACCAAGCTTCTCAGCTAAGACAATGTAAGGAGCCAATTCAGATAAAACCTCAGGAGCAACCATTGGAGCATTCACTGCAGTAGCTGATAGTTCGCCTTTCAACGCCCCTGCCACTGCCTCTGCTATCTCGATTGCTACACCTTCCTATAAGATCAAGAACCATTCACCCCTTAATGGGAAACTTATAAACACAGAGATGAATTGAGTAACATGAAGAAGTGTGTATGTACCTGTGCTTCTTTTGTGCTAGCTCCGAGATGAGGTGTTACTGTGACATTTTCATGTTGAATCAATTTGCTGTCTTTCGATGGTGGTTCCTCGCAGAACACATCCAATGCTGCCTGTTCAAATTCTCAAAAACCCTAATCAAAATCCAATTTCACACAAACCCCAATTGACAAAAACCCTTGAAATTCGAGATTCGTTTCGAAATCCAATAACGTTTGCGAAAACACAAAGCAAATCAAATCGCACCTGAGCGACGATTCCGGAATCGAGAGCCCTAACGAGCGCATCCTCATCGATGACACCGCCTCTAGCGACATTGATGAGACGAACGCCTTTCTTCATCTTGGAGAAGGTATCGTCGTTGAATACCTTCTTCGTCGCCGGAGTTAGCGGCATGTGTAGAGAAACGAATTCGGCGGTAGCAATAGCTTGATCGAAAGAAACCAGATCGACGCCGAGAGCTCTGGCTCTATCAGCTGGTGCGTAAGGATCGTGGGAGATAACGTTCATGCCGAGACCTTTGGCTCGCCTCGCCACCTCCGTACCGACTTTCCCGAATCCCATCACCGCCAGAGTTTTTCCGACGAGAGATACACCGACGTATTTGCTCCTCTCCCATTTTCCTGAGAAAAAAAATCCTCAAATGTTAACTTTCGCAACGGACTCGGGGGTTTCAAATTCAGTTCAGCACAAAATTATTGAAATTTTTTTACAGTTTCTGCATTTTTACTTTAGTACATTGCTATTAACTAATCATATTGACATATTGTATTACTAATCTTTACACTTTCTGTCTCGATCGTATATTGATGCTCTGACTGACTATTCCACTAAAAAAACACAGTACCAGGATCAAATAATTGAGTTTGTGCAATTATAATGCATGATTATTCAACGACCCACTTGTTGTACATTAAATCTGTGATTAAAAAATATCCTACAAATTGTGCATTATTGAACAAAAGAACGCCATATTCTTCTGTCAGTCAAGTATACGCCGAATCAATTTAGGTGAATAAATAACAGTAATAAAATAATACAAAATATAATGTTTTGAAAACTAAAAGACGATAAAAGAATTTTTTTTTTTTTAAATATATATTTTCGTTATTTTGCCATGATGTTCCAAGTTCCAAAATGGGTGGAAATTATGAGTTGTGACGTGTGAAATTGAAAAGAAATTACTAGGTAATTGATTATTTCTTCAACTTAAATTATTTCTTCAACTTAAGTTTCAAAAAAAAAACTTAAATTTGTGGGATTAAAATGCAAAGGTTTTCAAACAAAAATTGAGGAAAAAAACTAGTAATATGGAAGCATGTAAATTGTGGTAATAAAAGACGAAGAGACTCCAATAATTAATTTTGTACTATTGTTGGTGAGAGATGAGGAGAGAAAAATAGTGGACCCAGATTTTTGAATCATGGCCCAGACTGTATTTTCTTCAATAAATAGGCCCAGATTTAACCCTTGGTTGTTTTGTTAGGTGTTATTAATGGGGTGATTGGGGAGGACTTTTAAAACGGTAACTTTGTTT